GGTCTCTCTTGTAAACGAGTCCTCGAGACTCAATGGGATTTACCTGTAGAAATAAAGGTTGAATGAATCTCTCAGGAAAAAAGGCCAAATATTTTCTAGTTGAGTTCAGTAACTGGAATTACCATCAATTAAAAAAAGACCACCTTTCAAAATGTAAGCAGTAAGATATTTTAAAACGCTGAATTAGAAATAGACCCGTTTAAACCGTCATGCTTCAGAGCAGCTGCAGTTAAAACACAACTAGCAATTTAACGTTTCATTAACTAAAACTGGAGACATGAAGTATTAATGTTGATAAATTGTGGTACAGAACAGTCAGATAACGCTTCACAATGGAGAAAAAGTATCGCATTTGCATTAACTTACCGGAAAAACACGAAAAATGAACTACGTTCAATGCTGAACCCGCTGCTGTTTGGAACTCTTTGCCGCTGCATGACCCACGTGACTTCCGCATTCCATTCTTTCTATGGGAGTCTATGGGAGTGTCGCAACTCTCTCTTTACAGGGCTCTGGGTGCTACAGCTATACGCCTTAGTAAACACAAAACAGGTTATAACCTAGTTAATTTAAAAAGCATTAAGCTGGTATTTGGTGTGGTAGTAGAGAGTTATGCCCAGCACATACTCTGAGCACTGACAGTGGGAGGTCTTTGGCAGCAAAGCGGTGTGCTAACCCTTCCTCCAACTGGTGATACTAATTGATGTGACAGCAATGAGTGTGCGCTAACTTTTTCATTGTTACTCTGCAGTGCTCATATTTGGGCCATTTAAGATTATATTTTAATCCTCCTTTAAGGACAACAGAATAAAGATGTAGCAACAGTTGGATAGGTACATATTTAACACGCCTGATCAGCAATAACTAGCTGGTGTTAGAGAATAGTCCAGCCTTTATAAAAAAAATTAGATAAATCTTCATAAAACATCACAACACAAAAATATTTCCCTGTTTACCAACATAATCCAGGAAAAAAAGTGTATTTTGTTCATTTCAGTGTGTTTCTCCAGATAATTTATGGATTAATTATACGAGTGTAACATTTTCCATTAATTTGAACATCACAGGTTAATATTTAATGAAGGGATCTGTTTATTTTTTTAGGAGATGTCCTCATGCAGATATCAGAGAACCAACAGAGACTCACCTTAGAGCTGGAGGGAGTGGTGAGTTCCCTCTGCTCTTATCAGACCATCATTCTGTTTATCTATCATAAATAACCAAAGCGCTTCATTTCCTCACGTGTTCACAGCACACTTGGTGTCTCTTTGTTCTAGGTCCGCTGGTTCAGTACGGATGTTCTCCAGGTGATGGACAACAATGTCCAACTGGACCGAAATTACATATCCGTGAGTGAGAACCAAGCAGGAGATTAGCTACATTAAAAAAAAAAATACACATTTGATAGACACATTTAACAATTTCCCCACAATCACTTTTTTTTTTTTTTGCAGAATTAGGGGCCTTTTAAATCACATTTGATAACTAACGCAACTGTATTGCTTAAAAAAAAAAAAGTCCAAACATTAGTTCGCTAATAAAGCCATATATGATAATAAGGCTGACTGCACTGCGACAGAAAAGGTCAGCCGCAACATGGAGGTTCTTTGCCCGGTCTTTAAGAGCCTATTAGAAATGTTCTTCCTCATTTATGAAAGATTGTACTGTAGTAGTAATAGTTCTGTAGTAAAGCTGGAGTGGTTTATCATTGTGATGGCAGGATATTCATGGCATGGGACCTTCTTGTATTGATATAGGCTACCCTTCAATATTTTAAAGCAGGTCTAGCCATGCTGGACTCATGCCTTGGTCATGGAAGCAACCTAACTTGCGCATATATAAAGTAGAGTATTGGGCCAAGCACTGAACTCTGAGGAACTCCATAAGTAACTGGTGTGTGAAGAAGATTTGTTATTTACATTTCCTACATTTCCTATTTACAGACATGTTCCTTTTTTTAGTATTTTACCCTGTAGCTTGTTTTTATTTTGTTTTATAGCCCTACTTTTATTTACTTTACATTTTATATGCATTTAATGGCTGTTTATTGTTGTGTGTACCTCATCTGTGGTTTTGTTTAAAACAGGTCTTTCTTGAAAATGAGTTCTCATGACTCACTGAGACTAACCTGTATAAATAAAGACTGAATGAAAAACAAATGCATTTACAAACTGGAATATATATAAAAAGTATTCTTTAAACCATTTTAGAGTTGTTCCTGTAATCCCAATATCATCATATCATATCATAATATTGTGATCAACTGTATCAAATGTAGCACTGAGGTCTAACTGGGCCTGTGTAGACATCAGTAATAATGTTAATAATTAATTTTTTATGTATATTTTGCTCAGTGCCTGAGATAACATCTGTTGTGACTTGAAGTTACATAATTAAACTGAACTGAATTGGATACCAATGGATGTGGGTATACAGAGCAGTGGTGTCCATCCCTGGTTCCTCAGGACCACTGTCCTGCCTGTCTTTTAGACGGTAGTTAAAAACAGGGTGATGAATGGGCTTGGGCAGAACTTAAGGGAATATTAAAGTTAATTTGATCATTGAGTTAGGCCTGTTGCAGGAGGAAAACAACTAAAACATGCAGGATAGTGGCTCTTGAGGACCAGGATTGGACACCCCTGGTATAGAGTGGTAAGGGTGCTGTAGAGTGTCTCTGGGATGGAGAAAACTGCAATTTCCATCTCTCTAAAATAGTTTTTATTTTTTTTATTTGCCACACTTTATAGTAAAGAGCAGTGGTTCTCACACTTTTTATGGACATGTATCTTTTATCATGTGCTGTGAACTGTCACACAGGACAGCAGGGTGAAATATGAGGCTGAGGTTCATAACCAGGCAGCAGCGTTGGAGAGGCAGAGGAGGAGAGGAGCCAACCAGGTCGGTGTGTTTGTGCTTTTCCTCCCCTGCTCCATTTTTCTTTATCCTGGAGGAAAAAAATTGTTTGTGCCGCTGAACATGGGATGTTTGCGTCCTTGCTCAGTATTCTGCCCATGTGTGTATATGTGTCCTCAGGATGGTAGTGAATACGTGCACTTCCTCAGGGAGAGCCACCGTGAGGCTTTGGATGAGGAGGAGAGGCGATATCGCTTCCTGGCTGAGAAACACTGCGGCCTGATCCAGTCCATCGCCCAGCTTATGAATAAGGTACACAGGTCAATTCAACTTGTTTTAGTAAAGTCACCATTTTTATTTGACTTCTCTGGATAACAGACAAAGTACCACACAGATTAAGATTTTTTACACAAATTTCTTGGTTTTCAACATTTTACATCAATAGCATCCACTTCGGCACCCATCTGTGACAAACTAATGAAAAAATTAACAAGAAAAAATGTATGAAAATAAAATAATAAAAGCAGAAGCCACATTACATATAAGCATTCATACACATGTAACTGTGGTGTTTCGTTCACAATAATTAAACAATCTGTGCCAAAAAGACAGAGCAGAATTTCAGGTAATTTCAAATGAAATCAGCCAAAATCAAATTGTTTTTGTTTTTATTTAAGAAAGTAAAGAGCCTCCATATTCCAGCCTGCTTATGTCAGTGGAGCTGCAGGTTTCCATTTCAGCTGTAGTAGCTTCCTGGCCAACAGTGATGTGAATGCTGTTAGGATCTTTTTAGAAGGAGAGAGTGAGTAACGTAGGCCACAGCCTATACGAAGCAGTTAAGCCATCAGGAGGAAAAAACCCAATTCAGACCAGAGCCTGTGCTGAGAGCACCCCGCCCCCACTTCACCCACTCCACATGCATCTTATTATGTCATCTGTATGTTGCTTTTTTGCGCTGAGGTTTGTATGCAGCTTCACACCGTGTCCTGTTAGGGACACGGTGTGAGAGATGTTTTTTTTTTCCACTTCTTCTTTCCCTCGTGTTCCCTTTTCCTTATCTAACGGAAAAAAGGCAGCGCCTCTCATGAGGCTGCAGCCTCAGACACCCCATCTACCCATGTCTATGTTGTTTGGTTGCTTGTGTTTCTTTGGATGGGCTGCACTGAAATTAAATTTCTTTGTGCTTCGGTGCAATGACAATAAAACTGATTCAGATTCGGATTTACAAAGGAACAGCTCCAAAACGTGAGTAATTTTCTGTGGCCTAGGCACAGTTCACACAGGGCAACACTGTGTCGAATATTTTTGCAAGCATGGATTTAGCACAGCGAGCTCGATATAGGATGCTACATTGTAATAAACAGTGTTTGGTGATCTTATGTGTATACTTTATGATCGACCACATGGCACCAAGTTTCATCAGGAGGGAGTCCATGCAAACAGATTGTGCATTTGAACTTTGCTCTCAAATGTTTTATGATGGCTGAGAATTTTGGCGGGTGTGAAAACAAAACAGACCGCCACTCTTAGCCACAGGTCACATATATGATATTCAGCTTTGCACCTTGATCTCCGCTTGTCTTTGTCATTTGGTCACCATGAAGCACTTTGCAGTTGCGTCAGAAAATGACGTGAGATGAGCCCAAACTGTAAAAACAGCCAAATGTTTGGCCATGGATCATGAAAACGTGACACCAAAGAAAAGCCTGAGTTCATAAAGACTCTGCAGTGAAAACAACTTCCTGATGCTGCCCTGGTGTGACAGCAGGAGCACGGTGCAAAATGCAGCTGATATTTTTACATGCTCTACGGAAACCAACAAGTGCCAAGTGTTGAAAAAAATAGAATATAATCCCTTTAGTTTACTTTAGCTACTAACAAAGATACTGACAAGAAAACTGAATGGGAACTTTTATTGTACTTATTTTTATTATTTTCATGTTGGACAAAAACAGCCTATACATGCCTGGTATAGCATGATATAGTAAATTTACTCACAAATCTCTTAAAAACGAATTATTAAAAATGAAATGCCATATAAAATTTTAAATACCAGCTGTTTACAATAAATTAATATAACTGATAATTAATGTTAATTTCATTGAACAATCATGTAAAACAGCTAGAGGTATATAAGGAAAACTATAGTTTAGTAGCAATGATAATCTAACCTCTGAAGTCAGTCACACAACTCAGACATGACATATAAAGGGTGCTGCATAACAGTACTGGAATAACATATATTTATTATTTTTTACCTGTTATGTAGTCAACACTTAATTCAGTTCAGTTCAATTCAATTTATTTCTATAGTGCCAAGTCACAACAGAAGTCATGTCAGGGCACTGGACAGAAACATTCATATATAAAAATAATAATTTAACATTATTTATCTGAGGAGCAGACTGCTTTGAGTTTAACTCCATCACAGACTCTCATCCTGAGCAAGCATGAAGGCGACAGTGGAAAGGAAGAACTCCCTCATGAGGAAGAAACATTTAGCAGAACCAGGCTCAGGACAAGCGACCATCGGCTTCGACCAGCTGGGTTTGAGAGGAACAGGAAGGAGGAACAGATACACAATGGCAGGTCAAAAATCACATGTTAAGACAGAAATGGTATAAAATGAAAACTTCAGTTTTAACAATTCATTTAAGGAAATGAGGTCAATTTGTCCTCTAGAAGTCTAAGCCTATAGCAGCATAACAAGCCAACCCTTACTATAGGATTTATCAAAAATGAAAGTCTTAAAACTGGACAATGTGTCAGCCTCATGGACAGAAACTGGAAGTTGTTTCCACAAGAGAGGAGCCTGAGAACTGGAAGATCTTCCTCCCATTCTGCTTTGAACCACAAGTAAACCTGCAGTCTGACAGTGAAGTGCTCTGTTAGGAAAATATGGAACAATAAGATCTCGAATATAAACTGGAGCTAGGTTGTTGAGGGCTTTGTAGGTTAAAAGTAAGATCTTGAATTCAATTCTTGCTTCTCTTCAACGGAGAGAAGCTAAAACAGGAGCGATATGATCTCTCCTACTAACTCCAGTTAAGACTTGGAAAATGTTCACTGCAACCCCAGTGATACTTTGAAGGATGAAACTTGTCTCTACTGATATAAACTAACCATCTTCTCAATAGGTCATGTTTGTGTAATGGAAACCTAAAAATAGTCAAAATAAATAATATTATTTTACACCATGTAAATGTTACATAAAACTGTACTGTTTAATAATTTGTGATCAATTATAGCATGATTCAACATAGTGCTACACTCTGTACATTATTTGCCACAGGAGCTGATATCTAAGAGCCAATTTGATAATTAACAGTGATTACATCAGCTTTATGCACTAATTATATATTTGAACAGTTACAATATTAGCTGCAATCATGATCGGATCACATTTAAATCGAGGTAAATAAGATCAAATCTGCTTACATGTGAAACAAGATTCCTTTTCCTTTTTCACTTAACCATAGTACACACAACTTTGTGGCATTTTTATTTTATTTTTATATACATTAGATAGCTTATATATATTCTCATATTATATTGGTATTATTAATGTTTTACAACCTTTATCTGCCTTTATTGTTGGCTATTTTATCAATATCAACAACGATGCTAAGTCCAGACGTTAGGCCTTTGATTATTCAGATTCAGAGTTTCTTTATTGTCATTTGCACCTCATGTGGTGGAACGAAATTATGTACTCTGGGTCCCAGTAACATCCAACAATAAAATGTAAAAGATAAACAGTAATAAGATCTAAGATGTGAACAAAGAAAAACATCAACTGAAACTACTCTAAGCACTAATAGCATAAAAACAATAAAAACATTACGCCAAACAGCAGCACGAACATGAGTCTGTGTGAGCAGATGAGCACGAATGAACACACCAACATGAAACAGATCAGCAGCAACATGAAACAGATCAGCAGCAACATGATGTGATTTTCCACAACGATTATTCTGCTTAGAGATCCATGAGTCTAACAGCCTCAGGGCAGAAGCTGTTCCTCAGTCTAGTGGTTCTACACCTAATGCTCCTCAACCTCCTTCCTGAGGGGAGTGGGGCAAAAAGTGTGTGCTGGGTGAGTGGGGTCCTTCATGATGCAGGTGGCCCTCTTCCTGCATCTGGAGGTGTAAATGTCTGTGATGGTGATGGCTCCTGTCCCTCAAGTCACTACATTGCGTATCCACTGCGCCCTTTAGTTGTCTTCTTTAACTCTATAATAAGAATTGAGGCTGATGGGAAGAGAGGCTGCAGCTGTGACTGAACCTGGAACAGGTTTGAGTGGGCGTGGCAGGACCAAGGAGCAGAGGCTAACTGTGGAAAAGTCCTGGGGGATGTACAGTAGCACCGAGGACACTACGGGACAAAAACAAACTCAAAACAGAAACAACCAAAAAATAACACAACATTTGTTAGAATAAACAACAAACAGAAATATCAACACAACAAGAATAAACCCATATACTTTAACAGTATCTAAAGATGGTTTACATTTAACAGAAACTACTGCTTCAGATTTATTTCCTGTTCTGTGGCAGATAGGAGGAACTCTCCAGCCGAAAGCTGACTCCTGGACGGACGCCATCAGCGCCACCAGACGAGCTGAGGTCAGAAGACCCCCTTCTGTGGATAACACTGTGAGTTCTGCCGCTGACTCACAAAGCAACTCATATATACACCCAGGGCCTGAGATCTTCTCAGTTATACTACTGATGGGTCAAATTTTGACTTCAGGGAGGAAACAGTTAAATCTGATCAGGTGCCGTTTAGTAAAACAAACTGAAGAAAAAGTGAAGTGTTCATAGCATCAGTGCAAAGACACAAGGGGACAATGAAACCAATGGATTGCTAGAATGATAGTGAAGTTGCCAGGTGCCCTCTGCTGGTCGGTGTCTGATTTCATTAGAATAAATCCCTCCTCTGGCTTCATGTACAATTTGGGTTACAAAAAGGAACAGTTTGTCTTGCAGCTACTGAAAATATGTATTTTGATCATTTGCTTATGCTGTGTCTTTCTAAAGCTTTTTTTATACTGAATATAAGCTGACAGCTCTGAATTTTAAAAAGGATAATTCACAATCTGGAGCCACAGGATTCATACGACAGCGGTTTAAATAAACAACAGAGGCTTTGAGATAAAGCCTGGGTTTGAACTCCACAGATCCCAGTGTAATAACATCAGAAGATTACCTGCGTTTGATTTAGTCTGATGGAGGAATTCTGCTCGTCTGGAACTCAGGCATGTACTGCAGGTCACTTCATGCAATCATCAGTGACACGTGCACGCACCTCTGCACACACTTTCCTGTTTTCTCATCTTTACCTGACAGCTGGATGTGGAGCAGGTTTTAAATGTTATCATGGAGCTGTTGGTTCAAGATGATTAAAAGTTTATTTTTTCAACCTGCCACCAATAATGGGCTCTCACAATAAATAGCTTCTAATCTCAAAGATTATAAATGCAGTTTTGATAGAAAATACGTTAAAAGCGTAATTCAGATCTTTAGAAGTGTGGTTATATGGAAAGGTTATGAACAATTAGTACAGTAGTCCCTTGCTAGTTTGCGGTTTATCGCAGACTCGCTGTATTGCGGTTTTTCAAAATAAGAGTGGGCATGATAGACAATTAGCTGACTGATGGATGAGCCGCACGATCGGCATGAAATTTTTATTTAAAATTAATTATTTTAAATTATTTAGCACCTGCTGCAGCTTTGTGCAGCCCATACTGCAGGATAAACTTCCTGTTGCAGCTGATCAGCTGTTCACAATGCAGAGTGGAGAAGTGGGCGTGGCCAAGAGCGCTTGCAGGTGGCAAAGAGCAGAGGAGGAAGGGAGCTGAAATCATGACATGCTGTGCTCTTTTAAGAGCGTTTGGAGTTTAGAAACATTGTTTAGAACACTGCAAGAGTGTGGGAAGGGTTTTAAATGCATATACAGGTATATATATATATA